TTTTGTGCTGATTTCGTTCTGATTTTGTGCTGGTTTTTGTTGGTTTTGCACAGATTTTGTGCTGATTTCGTTCTGATTTTGTGCTGGTTTGGTACTGGTTTTATTGGTTATGCACTGGTTTTGCTCTGGTTTTGCACTAGTTTTGTGTTGATTTTGTGGTTTGCGTGTCTCTGTATGGCGTTCTTGTGTTTCTGATCTCTGTAATCAGTCAGAGTGTGAACAGACAGGAAGCAGAAGTCATCCTGAGGTCCTCTAGGGATCGTCACAGGTGTGTGAACAGGAAGTAGAATCATGAGCACCTGCACTAAAAGCGTCAGTGTTGCGGTCAGTGTTTTATTTCCAGCGATGATGTCATGATCTGCGCTCATTTGCATCGGCGGTTCTCGTATTTTCGCTCACACTGAAGCGTGTTCATGCAGAGCTGCTCTATTCAAATGTCCTGAGATGATCCAGCCGTTCATTTGACTTAATCAGCTGAAGATAACGGTCCGTGACTGACTGCTGAAGGTCACTTCCGGCTCTCACCTGATGGACGTGTTGCTTTTCTTGAATGTCTTTGCAGTTGAAGGTTGAGTGTTGTAGTTTCTCCGCTGACTCTTCATGTGTACGCTGAAGTTTGTCATCATCTCGTGTTTAAACATGTTCAAGCTGCTGCGTTTGAGAGAAACGGGCTCGCTTTTGAGTCTCACAGTTAAAAGGCAAACAGATTGGGATTGATTCCTGTGAGTTTGTGATGAAGTGAACGAGTCGTGGATCTCGGGAGCTGATTGATTCATGTATCTGAGACCCATCCTGATGCTTTTAGATGTTTGCTGGATCTCTCTGGGTTCTGCAGTTTGATCATTTTTTGTGTTGGGTTTTAAAGGGATGGTTTGCTTAAAAATGAACATTTGCAAAAAAGTTCCTCACCCTCAGACCGTTCAAGATCAGGATGAGTTTGTTTCTTCATCAGATTTGGAGAAATGTAGCACTGCATCAGTGTCTCATCAATGGATGCTCTGCAGTGAATGGGTGCCGTCAGAATGAGAGTCCAAACAGCTGATAAAAACATCACAATAATCCACAAGTAATCCACACACATCCAGTCCATCAGTTAACATCTGGAGAAGACAAAAGCTGAAACAAATCCAGCATTAAGACG